GGAATGGCCCCTCATAGTCCCAGATTGCAATAAATGTGACTCTTTAATTCAACTTCTTGAGGCGTCCTTCTGTGATTCGCAGGGTACATTACAACAGTTGCAAATATCAAAAATTTCTATATGTGACACAGCACCAGAGTTAAGTTAGGGTTTTTCAAAATGCTGACACGCCGAGCTCAAAAGGTTCTCCATCACTGCGCTAGTGAAATGAGTGTTGCCTGGGGTGTTGACTAGAGAACCCAAGATTTTAAAAGAGAAAGTGAACTTAGGGAAATGCTTGTCTTTCTATTTGGGATGTCCCTCTGTCCCCTAAACTGACCTCTGTCGTAAAAAAAAAAAAAAAGAACTAAGGCTTACTGAGCATATAGAACATGACAGACACTGTTCTAAGTGATCTGCATAAAGTTCTCATTTAATTCTCAGAAAAAAAGACATATGGATGTAGAAAAGGTGTTATTATTATTATTATTCCCATTTTACCAACGAGGAAACCAAGATCCAAAGAGATTAAATAATTTTCCCAAAGTCACACAGCAGGTCAGAGGCAGGTTTGGAGCCCAGGCAGGATAACACCAGAGTGTGTGCAGGAACCACGCTACCTTCCTGCCTCCCATATTGTACTATCACAAGCATTGGTTTGTTTACCCCACACATGTCTGTTTTCCTCTGCTTGGGTATAAGTCCTGTTAAGGTAACAGCTACAATTTGAATGCTTTACTAAAGTGCTAGGCACTAATCTAAGTCCTTTAAATGCATGAAGTTACACAGCTCCACAACACACCTGGGAATAAACCAAGCCCAGAGACCCTTACCAAAAAGTTGTAGAACTGGAGTCAAACCTAGGCAATCCTTTCTAGCACCCTCAAGGATGTGAACCATATCTTATTTGTAAGGTATTCTCTGCCCCTGTACTCTAGTAAATACCTAGAGAAGGCTTGATGGATGAAAGGACAAGTGCATAAAAGAATTTTTACTTCCAGTCAAGAAGGCAGCGTAGGAAAATGCAGTACTCACCTCCTCCCAAAACCACATCAAAATTACAACTAAACTACAGAACAACCATCATTTGGAACCACCTGAAGTCTGGTTGGAAAATGGAAGTCCTACAACTAGGAAATTAAAGCAGAAGCCACATTGAGACTGTCCAGAGGGGTGGAGATGTGGAACAAGCTGGCGGATAAAAATCAGGAGGGCTATCTCAGCTGTGGAGATCCCCCCTGAGGAGCAAGGGGTCCCAGCGCCACACCACTCCCACCTTCCCCACCTCAGGTTCCAGTGCTGGGAAGAGAAGTCCCCATATCTTTTGGCTGTAAAAACCAGCAAGGATTGAGGCTAGGGGAGATGGAGGGCTGTTGGAGCCCCAAGACATTCCTTTGAAGGGCCCACCCATGGACTTACTCAGATTCACTCACTCTGAGCCTCAGTACTGCAGCAGGAGCTTGAAAGGCACCAGAGACATATGGGAAAGAACCAAATTGTTCAGCATCAGGATGAGAGCTGGGTGGGGGGCAACTTTCTTTCAGACAGAAATACAGAAGTGCTGGCAGAAACCATTGTTCTTTTGATGAGCCCTCCCCTCACAGACCTTGCAGATGGGTACCATATCTGAGCCTCCATCAACCTGGCTCACACTGTTTGCCTGACCCTCGTGATTCCCTGAGATCCCACCTTACCCAGCTTGAGATCCCACACCACTCAAGCTGTTTCCATGGCTTATTTTGGCTCATGCTTCAGATTTTCCTAAAATCTCTCAAACAGCAGCATTTGGTCTCAGCGAGCCCCAGACCTCTTTCTAATTGGCCCAGACCCAGCACTAGCAGCAGCCAGCCTTGGTTCACAGCTTGGCCTCACCTGGGTACCTCTAAGTCAGCACAAGCGCCAGCCATTTGTAGATTGCTTTGTAGTCCCAGGCAGAACAGAGGCAGCAGTTGACCTGTGCCTGAACCTCCCAGGAAGCTCCAGAGATAGCATACCCAGTAGAAGCTTCAGACCATGAAGCACCACCACCCAACCTCCTCCACAAGTGTCACACTCAAGGGGCAGAGTCAATGGACACCAGAGTCCTGCTGAGATACGTGCTGAGGTGTGGGGTGGGTCCTGGCACAGCTGATCCTCCACAGTAGTTGGTGGTCGCAGCCAATCCCTACAACTAATAGGCTGGGGGGTGGGGGGGCATGGTAAATTCTTCCAACTGACATGTCAACAGCAATCAAGGTTCAACTACAAGAGGGGGGTTTACACAGCCCACATGAGGGTGAGGGCATACCTTGAGTGCTCAGCTTGGGTGATGGGAGGCTGTGTCACTAGAACCTACAGAACACCTAGATATTAGGCCAATCTACCAAGCCTGGGAGACGTAGCAGCTCTACTTAATACATAAAAACAAACAGGAAAGCTGCAAAAATGAGGAGACAAAGAAATGCGTCCAAAATGATAGAACAGAAGAAAACTCCAGAAAAAGAACTAAACAAAATGGAGATAATCTACTAGATGCAGAATTCAAAACACTGGTCATAAGGATGCTCAATGAACTTAGGGGAAGAGTAGATGAACTTAGTGAGAACTTCAACAAAGAGATAGGAAACATTAAAAAGAACAGGTCAGAAATGAAGGATACATTAACAGAAATGAATAATACATTACAAGGAATTAATAGTACAGTAGATGAAGCCAAGGACCAAATCAGAGATTTGGAAGATAAGGAAACAAAAAACAATCAGAACAGCAAAAAGAATGAGAGAGAGAGAGAGAGAGAGAGAGAGAGAGAGAGAGAGAATGAATAATGTAAGGAGCCTCTGAGACAATTTTAAACATACCAACATTTGCATCAAGAAGGTGCCAAAAGGAGGAGAGAGAGCAAGAAATTGAAAATCTATTTGAAAAAGTAATGACAGAAAACTTTCCTAACTTGGTGAAGAAATAGACATACAAGTTTAGGAAGCACAGATGAACCCAAAAGAACACCAAGACATATCATAATTAAAATGCAAAGAGTTAAAGACAAAGAAAGAATCTTAAAAATAGCAAGAGAAAAATTAGTTGCCTACAAGGAAGTTTCCATAAGATTGCCAGCTGATTTCTCAACAGCAGGTTTGCAGGCCAGAAGAGATTGGCAAGAAATACTCAAAATGATGAAAAGCAAGGCCCTACAACCAAAATCACTCTGCCCAACAAAGCTATCATTTAGAATCAGAGGACAGATAAGAGTTCCCCAGATAAGAAAAAGTTAAGAGTTCATCACCACCAAACCAGTATTGTATGAAATGTTAAAGGATTGTCTTGGAGGAGGAGGAAAAGGAAAAGGAGGAGGTGGAGGAGGAGGAGGAGAAGGAGAAGGAGAAGGAGGAGAAGGAGAAGAAGACACAATTATGAACAATAAAATTGCAATAAATACATTATCTATCAACAATTGAATCTAAAACACAAAATAAATGAACGAGCAGAACAGACTCATAGATACCGAAAACATTTTGACAGTTGCCAAATGGGAGGGGGCTTGTGGTGATAGGTGAAAAAGGTAAAGGGATTAAGAAGTACAAATTAGTTGTTACAGAATAGTTATGGGGATGTAAAGTACAGCATAGGAAATATAGTCAATAATACTCGAATAACTATGTATCATGTCAGATGGGTACAAGATTTATCAGGATGGTCACTTAGTAAGCTAGTAATGTCTAACTAATCACTGGGGTGTATACCTAAAACTACTATAATAATTTATGTCTACTGTAATTGAAAATTTTTTTAATGATTTAAAAAAAGAGAGAGAGTCTACCTCCACCATAAAAAAAAAAAAAAAAAAAAAAAAAAATACCAGTCAAGTGAGTCCACCCCTTGGGAGTTTCAACAAAGAAGACTGGTGTGCTTGGAATCAGAGTGAGACCACTAAGCACCCCCTAGCCTAAAGTAGAAAGGCTAATTTCTAAAGATGTGCTGCCTCAAAGAACTCACAAATAAATCAAAATCAATCAGTCAATCAATACATCTCCTTCTCTCTTCCCTTTCCTCCCTCTACACCCGCTTTCCTCTTCCGTTCTCTTTTACCCCTTGTCCACTAGAATGAATGAGCACAAATGCAGCCTTTCCATCTGTTTGTCCCAGGTGGACCTCATGGAACACAAGGTCCAAAAGTCATCTCTACTCATCTGATTCAAGGATGTTCTATTCACTGTTTCCTTCCCCTCAATCTAAGAGATAAGGACACAAACATGAGCAAGGGTGCACATACCTTTGGGTGTGAATAAAGAACTGTCTTCAGAAGTTACCTCAGGGAGAAGGGAGGTTTTTGATTCTGGAATAGAAAAAAGTTTGATGAAAGGCAGCAAAAAAATAAGTAAGTGTGCTGAGTGTGAGATCTGGGGCTCTTTTTTATGGTAGTCTTTGTGCTTTTCTACATCAAATTTTCTTCAAGGATTGCAAGAATCTAGGAGAAAAAAATTACAAATGTATTTTAAGATGATTATTTTAAAGGTAAATGGAATAAAAATACCTACAAAAATTAATTGGTTTAGAGTTCGTGGACTTTAGGTGACTATTCAGAGTATAATAAAATCAGCCAATTGAATATTGTTAAGCTATTTAGATGATCCAGACCTTATTTTGGCAGCTAAAATGCCTAAGAAAGCCTTCAAGATATCTCATGATTGCTTTTTAATAATTGTATTTTCAGAATCAGAGGAGGAAATGTGGTGGGAACTTTGATAAGGCCCTACTAGTAACCCAATGAGAGGTTCAAGATGCATGATCATTAAGGATTCAGGAGAAAGAAAAAAAAAGACAGAAGATAACCAGTTCACTATCAAAAATTGTTTTGAAGTCTTTCTTAAACCAATCTCTAATGCCCAGGCAGAGACTTAACCCCTGGCAAATGGAACTGGAGCCTGACCTGAGGTTACATTCCTGGTTCTTCAATAAACATCTCAAAGATTCCTGGAGGGCAACTGAAGAACCAAAAAAAGTTGACTTTTCACAAACACAGGAAGAAAGAGGGGCTGGGGGAGGAAACCATAAAACAAAGAAAAGGAATAATTTAGTGACTACACACACACACACACACACACACACACACACACACACACACACACTGTTATGGGCTGAATTGTGTTCCACCCCCCAAATTTATATGTGGAAGCCCTACCCCCATAGTTCAGAATATGACTATATTTGGAGATAGAGCCTTTAAATAGCTGATTAAAGTAAAATGAGGTCATTAGGATGGGCCATAATCCAATATGACTAGTATCCTTATAAAAAGAGGAGATTAGCCGAAACCGGTTTGGCTCAGTGGATAGAGCGTCGGCTTGCGGACTGAAAGGTCCCAGGTTCGATTCCGGTCAAGGGCATGTACCTGGCTTGCGGGCACATCCCCAGTAGGAGATGTGCAGGAGGCAGCTGATCGATGTTCCTCTCTCATCGATGTTTCTAACTCTCTATCTCTCTCTCTTCCTCTCTGTAAAAAATCAATAAAATATATTTAAAAAAAAAAAAAGAGGAGATTAGGCCCGGCAAGTGTAGGTCAGTGGTTGAGCATTGACCCAAGAACCAGGAAGAACACTCCATCCATGCTTTTGTTCCGGCTCTCCGGTCCAGTTTAAGAACCCACTGTGGCCCTCGAGTCAAAAAGTTTGCCCACCCCTGGATTAGGACATAGACACACACAAAGGAAAGACCATGGGATGACATAGTAAGAAGATGACCATCAGTAAGCCAAGGAGAGAGGCCTCAGAAAAAATCAACCTTGCTGACACCTTGATCTCAGACGTCTAGCCTCCAGAATATAAAAAAAATAAACTTCTATTGTTTAAGCCATCAGTCTGAGGTATTTGTTATGATAGTCCTGGAAAACTAACACATACCACCACTCCACACACACACACACACACACACACACACTCACACACACTGCTCATTCAGTAGAGGAACCCCATTCCAAGGGACTCATATACATCTGATCAGCAGAAGGGAAAGAATGATCAATTGTGTCAGGTACCTGCAGTGAGGGTGGACCCTTCGGTGGAAGGCACAGTGGTCAGAAGAATGGTGGTTGCCTCAGGAAGGGAGCTTGGTGTTGTCCATGGGCACGTGGTTGTCATTGTTGTGAGGGCAGTGGTGGTTCTTGTCTGAACTGGTGTTCTCGTTGTGAGGTCAGGTGTAGTCATGACTGTTGTTGGAAGCACAGTTGTGGTTGTTGGCATAGCAGTGGTGGTGGTGGTGGTGGTGGTGGTGGTTGGGCGCCGGGTAGTTGGGCGCCGGGTGGTTGGGCGCCGGGTGGTTGTTGGGGCTGTAACCAACAGAAAATATCTTTGATACCAAGTGGAGATGGAGGAAAAAGGAAACAATACAAATATATCTGGGACCCTTCCGTTTCCCTCTGTTTCTACTGCCTTCACCTAGTCCACTGTCTTGGACCATTGTAATGTCCATAAAAATTGGGTTTCTTACCACTAGTCTTGGACTTTCCAATTTGTTTTCCACACATTGGTTTGAGTAATCTTTTAAAATGATAAATCTAATTATGTCAGTCCCCCGCTTAAAACTTTTTACTGGGTCCTCCTTGCCTGTAAGCTAAAAAGCCTAGCCCGCAATCTTGGCTGCAAGGCTCCATGGGATCTGGCCCTGTCTTTCCTTCCAATCTCATGTCTCTACTTCACTCTCCATCTTTCCCCAGCCCATTGGCCTTCCTTCAGTTCTTTGAACATATTAGTGGCCTTCTAGCTGGAAGAACTTTATACCTGCTGCTTCCTAGTCTCTCTCTTTAGCCTTCTTTCTCAGCTGGATGGACACTTCTGCAGAGAGGTCACCTGTGTTATGTAATAACAATTTTTTTATACTCTCATACTTTATTTCATAGCATTTATTGCATTTCATAATTGTACATTATTTGATGATTATTATTTAATGTCTTCTTCTCCAACTAGCTGGTAAGCTCCATGAGGGAAAATCTGGTTCTCTGGTACAAATCTAATACCTATTATGGTGTCAAGCACATAGTAGGTGTTCCACAAATATCCATGAGTAAATGATTGATTAAATGAATGATTGATTAAAAGTGATCATAGATATAAAATTTCAGTCAAGCAAAATGAATAAACTCTGGAGATCTGCACAACATTGTGCCTATAGTTAGCTCACATTAGGTGTTCTTTTCACAATAAAATAAAAGTCTAAAAACACTGAGTCCAAAGTATGGTGAGGTGCAGTCTCTTTTGGATATTAAAGATTGGTTCGTGCCAGCACCACTCACCCCCTAAACGTTTGAATTTGGGTTCATTAGCCACAATTATTCTCCAGATACCACCTTACCAAATATGCCAAATTTCCATGAACTCTAATGGACTAGTGAAAGACATCACTAGTTTCAAGAGAACATAGAAATGACCCCACAGAGTTTGGAGGTCAAACAAGTATTTTATAAAATAATAGTTGGTTATACCAACATTGAAAAGAGTAGACTTGGATTGGCATCATTTAATTCAATAAATCAGAATAGTTATTTTGAGAGAAAAAATATGCTAATGTATACGAAAATTCTCCAATTAGAAGCATCCACATTAGTTGTTCTCAAATTTTAAAGTGTATTAGAATAAACTAACAAACAAAATAGAAACAGACTCATAGATACAGAGAACAAGCTGACAGCTGTCAGGGGGTTGGAGGACTGAGTGAAAAAGGTGACAGGACTAAGCAAACAAACAAAATGAAAAAACTGAGAGACAGACACCAGTATGGGGATTACATATACAGATGATGAATTATACAATTGTATACTTGAATCCTATATAATTTATTAACCAATGTCACCCTAATAAATTCAATAAATTTTAAAAAGCAATAAAATAAAGTACATTAGAGTCACCTAAGGAGCTGGTTACGCATATTAATATCCAGACCCTGCCTTCGAAGATGCCCTTCCACTTAGGAATGGAGCCCCAGATTCCTCCATCATTGATGAAAGCTGAACACAGGGCTTACTTTACAAGGCTCCATTCCAGACAAGCAGAAAAGGTCGTTATTGTTAGCATCATTTAGCCATAGACTGCCCTCCATGCAGCTCAAATCTTTTGTTTGTTTGTTTTTATTAATCCTCACTGGAGGATATTTTTTCCATTCATTTTTAGAGAGTGGAAGGGAGGGGCAAGGAGGAGAGAGAGAGAAACATCAATGTGAGAGAACCACATCAATTGTTTGCCTCCCTTGCAGCTCAAAGCTTTAGGAGTTCCACCTTATTCCAAATTTCACCAAAAGCAAGATAGTAACAGAAGGAAAAACATGCCTTAAAATGGCCCTGAGAGTCCCCTTATCACATGCCCTTTTTTGCTGCCAGAAGCTACAACCTACTGGCTGATGGGCTGAAGCTGACCACAGACACACTTTATTTAGCTTCACAGTATGTATTTTTCTAAATGTTGAAATCTTTGCCAACATGCAAAAATCAGTACATCTCACATAAAAATTGAGAGATCTGTAACCAGTGGGCAACAATCCCAAAGGTAAAAAGCAGCTGCCTTCTTCAGATTGACCCTAAAGTTTCCTTCCCAACCCGCCACCCTCCAATCATTCCTGTGGCCCTCTTGGACCCCCTGGGCATCTGCCGCACATCGTGGCTCTTAGTCGGAGCAACACTTCCGAGATGTAACCCGTCCACTCCTGGCTTAAGGAGCTAACGCTTCTCTCCCTGCCCCCACTGAATCCATCACCCATTAGCCACCAAATCTCTCCTTCCACAGGCACCAGCCCCTTCCTGTGCTCACCTCTCGTTAGCCTCAGGACAATGTTCTTCTTGACATCATTGAACCAGCCGGGCACCTCTATGCGGCAGCAGTACACAGCGCTGTCACCTTCGTTGGTGTTGGAGATGGTCAAAGAGACGTCGCCTCTCCGGATATTCCCCCAAAGCTGGTATTTTGACGACTTCCGGGAGACGACCCTCCTATCATCGGTGTGGAGAAGTTCCTCGTTGCATTTGGATTTGGGACACGAGCCTTTGCCCCAGCACATGCTGTGGCTGCCCTGAGACCACGATGCATACGTGCAGGGCAAAGTCACCGTCTGGCCCACGTATCCGGTCACGACAGTCTGCGCTGCAGCTGGCGCTGTGAGGAGGGATGAGAAAACCAGGTCGTGTGGTACTGACGTATCTCAGACATGATCGTGGTTGCGCAAACAGGTGCTTCCAGGAAGATGCACAGGGTCGTAGAATATGTGTTTCTTTAGTCTAAATTCTGATGTGTGCTTCACCAGAGCTGAGCTCCTAACTCTACATCCTTCCATCCCCCAAGTGGAGACAGCTGACCCACCTGAGTGTCTAAAGCTCATTTCCACAGCAAGACTTTTTGCTGATGTTTCTCTCTCTCTCCTCCCCCTCCCTTCCACTCTGACCTTGAGTACCGTAAGATAAACCAATAGACTCTCCACTGAAAAATCCTGACCCTTTAACTCAATTCCCCTAACTCAGAAAAACAGGTCTAAACATAGCACTTTGCCCACTGGAGCCCAATGAACAGTGATTATGTTCTCTTGACTTGAATATCTCAAATGGGTCTCCTTCTGTCCTCCAACATTGAGAGGGCTAAGATAGGAATATGGGCTACCAGACTATATACCATTGCTCTCTCTTTTCAGCACAGGAAATGAAAAGGAATTGCTCTGGACCATTTATTTGTTGTTAGACAATATGAAGGTAGGTGGAGTTTGAGGGTTTTTTAAATGTTAGAACTGAGTGAAGCAGACCACAGGAATTAGAATGGGAACTGTGGCATACAAAAATGCCAGAGGGTAATATGGTTGGTATCACTACTGTGTGATGTATAAATAGGTTTACAGTTGTGAGTACGTGAAACACAGAATTTATTCTTGTATTATTATTTATTAATTATTGTATTATTTTCCATGTGAACAATTGTAAACCTACTTGTACCCCACTCTAGTTCTAAGATGAAGTGTCCACTTTTCCCAACTTTGGCTGCTCATCAGCATGACCCAGGGAGATTGTTAAAAACAGATATTTTATTGACCGTCCCTGAGTCAGAATCTCTGAGGCCAAAGCCCCTGGAAATGGACATCATCAAACTCTTTTGATATCATTGGCCACTCCCCCAGTGTGTGAGGACCACAGGACAAGCTCTTTGAAGATCACATCTGTGGACGAAAGGGGCCACATGCTGACCTGACAAGCTCAGGAAAGGCCTGCATGGCAGTTTTGCAGACTCGGAGACCTAAAGGAACCACAAAGGATGGTCTGAAATTAAACCTTAACTAAAAGCAGTTATGGTGGGCAGTTACGTCCTAAGCCAATATCTTCACTGATAAGGTCAACCTTTACTGTATCTGTCACCAATGTATTTCATGTATAAATACAGATGTAACCCTGCCATTCTCCAGAGCACTATCTCAATTCGTTGAGGTTCTGCTTCCTGGCATATGTTGACAGTTTGGCTCAAATAAACTCACAAAAATTCTTTACAGGTTTCAATGGTTTTTTACGTTAACACATCCATTTCTGATAATCTGGGAAATATTCTCACTGCTGCCAGACCACTGATTTAATTGAGCACCAGTACTTGTTCTAAACAACAGAAAACCTACTGAAGTGAGAGCGAGGCAGCTGAAGCTCCAGACCATCAGACTACATCCCAGGCACCAGGTTTCTGCTTCCTGTTTTCCTCCAGGACTCCCCTAGGCCCATGAGGCCCCATGCACTAGCTGTGTTGACCCATTTGGCTAAGTTGTATAAGACATGGCCCACAGGCCCTGACCTGGTGTCAGGAACGTCTAGATATCCCTCTCTAGGGGGAGGTGAGCATCAACCCTAAAGGGCGCCCAGAGAGGAAGCCAAAGGGCGTGCTACCTGGGCTTTCCACAGTGGACGCCCATGATGAAGGTCATTCCAAATACAGAGCAGCCAGAGCCTTCCCTGCACTCACAGCCCCTTCGCTTTGCTGCAGTGAAAACGTTTCACAGACCATAAATGCTGTAGAAGTCCACTCTGCCCACCATCAACCCAGGAAAAAAGGTAAGCAATTCATTGTCATCACCCTGGGTCATAACACACAGCAACACAGAACACGTGCGCCTAAAACAAATAACTTCTGAAACATAGGCTTGTTCCTATTTATATTGGGAGAATTAATTTTAAAATATATGCAAGAATTATTTCTACTGGCGAGTCATCAGTTTACTCTCCCAAGTATTACAGCGTCACAGGAAGCATCCTACTTCTTAGGACCCAACAGAAAAACTAAAAAAGGACATAACAGGCAATTCATAGATGAGGCGATATGAGTAGCTAGTAAATTTCACCTATTTGGCCAAAATTTAGAGTGCTGATAAAAGCAATTTTTAGCCAACAGGGATTTAGGAAAAGATAGCTTACCGGAGTCAACTACACAGAAATAGGGTAAGAATTGGTATAGCCATAGTGTGGGCCAATTTGGCAGTTTCTATTAATACTCAACATGCACATGTGCATTCTAAACCTTAGCAAGTTTGTGTTTTATTTACCCTAGAAAAACACACATGCACAAGAAAACCTAATAGCAAATGTTTATTGCCACCTTCACATACATGTGAATGGAATGAACGTGTCTATGTGCCTGGCAAAACTGGCACATTCATTCCATGGAATCATGTGTAGAAGGTTATTAGAATTAGATAGACTTATGCCAGTTGGCATGAAAACTCGGTCTTACGAAAGTATGAAAAGGGAAAATTTTAATATAACACATACAGTGTAAAAACCATTAATAAAATAAATAAACAGTTCACACTGTGTATGTGCATGTGGGGGTGGGGGTATAGATAGATGAAGCTAAATGCATAGAAAAGTGTCTGGTGGGATATACCCCCAACTCATTGTGTTGGTCCTCTCCATGACGATTGGAAAGGGATGGGGCCTGGGGGTGGTCCTCAAAAGAGATTTATAGCTTTATTTTTTTTTTCACCAAGGGTGTTTCTGTATTACTCATCTGTTCAAAATTGATGGTTTTGAAAAAAAGGAAGCAGGCAATTAGGCATTTTGCTGTGGCAGAAAAACACCCATTAGGCGTACATTGTAAACCTCATGGGCCTTTGTGTTCTTGGAGGAAAGCCACAGTAAGCCTAACCTCATTGTCATCGTAAAATAAAGGGGATAATGACTTCCCTCAGAAAGCCTTTCTAAGGTTCGCATGAGATGAAATATCAATGCTACATGGAATTAATGAAGTAACCAAACACAGGAGAATTTAGAAATAGGACCAAAAAACCCTGGGTTTTTTTCCAGTTACAAAAGTATCCTGTAGCAGAGGAATTGTTGGTGTCAAATCAATTCCGTTTTTCAGAAGCTACCCAGGATGGTGTGGGGACAACCTGGGTTCTGGTGCCAGTGGTGTCTCCTCCAGCTGGTGACCTGGTGACCTCAAGAAAGGTCCTTCCCTGATCCAGGTCTCAGTTTCACCATCTGCAGCCTGGAGTTTCTGATTCAGCATCTTTGAAGGGCATGTGCAGCTTTGATGGATTCTCAGTGATTCTGAACAGTCATTCTCTTCTAATTTGGTCATTTTAGAAAAGACCCAAATGAAAAAAGGAGAAAGTTCACCAGCTACTATCTCCTTTAAACAGGGTTAAAGAAACCCACCCTAGCTCAACCAACAGCTCAGCAACCAGCCAGTAGCTGGCTATGTGGACTTAGACCCCAGCAACTTTCAGCATAACAAAATCAAGTTCCCAGAACACCTCAAGTTCCCAAAACAAGATAAAGACCATTGAAAACATTGATTAAAAGAAGAAGAAGAAGAAGAAGAAGAAGAAGAAGAAGAAGAAGAAGAAGAAGAAGAAGAAGAAGAAGAAGAAGAAGAAAGGCAGACAGGGGCTGCTTTTATTCCATTAATGGCCACAGTGTATCTGGAGAGATAAGCAGCTCAGTGACCTGTTCTCTGATGTGGGATGGGGGAAGGGAAGGGGAGGGGGCGGGAGGTACAGCGGAACTCCAGGGAGGACAGGAACTCATAGCAGAAATTCCTGAATCAGCCCTAACTGGTTTGGCTCAGTGGATAAAGCATCGGCCTGTGGACTGAAAGGTCCCAGGTTCGATTCCCGTCAAGGGCATGTACCTTGGTTGTGGGCACATCCCCAGTAAGAGGTGTGCAGGAGGCAGCTGATCGGTGTTTCTATCTCATCGATGTTTCTAACTCTCTATCCCTCTCCCTTCCTCTCTGTAAAAAAATCAATAAAAATATATCTTAAAAAAAAATTCCTGAATCAGTCCTGAGCGCTCAGGAAAAGCCCACCTTTGGAGGAGACCTGAGGGGCCATGGGCTTGCAGAAGAGAGGCAGAGAGAACTGCAGTGCACATGCTGGACAGGTAAAGGAAACACTTCTGCTGTCCTTCAACTACCAAACTTTTAAAACTACAAAAGACATTAGATACTGTCTGGTTCTAGAATCACAGATGGTGAACACTGGTCTGATCCAGGTCCCTCATTTCACACGGGGAACGCCAGGGCTTATTCAACGTGTTCCCAGTGCCAACTGTCAGCCAACTGACAGGACTCGGGCTCGGCACGAGCATTTGCCCTCTGCCACCAGGATACACAGGTCTCCGCCCAGGGCGGACCTCTGCATCGTCCAAAACCTGCAAACAATGTGCCAGAAGAAACCGCTCCTTGAAACCTCCTCCCCGGCAAAGTAATCCAACAGGCAAACTAAAACTGACAATAAAGAGAAAAAGGAGAATTACAAGAAGAGCCCTTTCCAGAGCAAATTGCCCTCCATCTGACGGCACTGATAACATCTGCAGAGGACATTTCTTTTCCCCATTTCATCTGACCCCTTATTTCGGTGTTTCTTCTTAAATTGCCATTTCTGATATGAACACAAATGACCCCACCCTGAAACCCCCAAAGTGGTCTCAGCATAAAACTTTGTACGACAGCAGGAGGAGAGACCACCCAAATAAGAAACCCTGGGTGGGGGATAGGGGAGGGAATGAGGTGGGCTTCTGCTGCCTGAAGCCCACCAGTCAAGGAACCCCATCTCAGGGTACGGAGCCCCCCTCCTCCATGGCAGGTCAGACACTTACTCAGATAAAGCCACCACAGCTCCCTCAGCAGCCAGAGGATGACAGGCCCTCTGGACATTTTGACTGTCAGCCGACACCAGGAGTCTGTCTGTCTGTCCGCCCAAACTTCATTTCTTATACTCCAGTTAATGCTGACAGGGCGGGACCTTTTTGTTTTCATTTCTCTTTTTTGGCTCAAAACCTTCCCTTACCCCCATCCTGAATGGCCTTCCTGGATCTGGGATGCATGAAGACATGCACTGAGTACTTTTCTCCTGGACACTGAG